CCCCCCCGGGATTCTAGGCAGGGGCTCTACCCCTGAGCCACGCCCCAGCCCCTCCCTGGGGGATTCTAGGCAAGCACTCTCTGTTTGAGCACACCCCTAGCTAATATCCCCTGTAAGTGCTGTACACCCCACTAACCAGACAGATCGTCCCATCTGTAATGCACCCTGATACCCCAGTGATTCCCATTCCTATCCTGACCCGGGCACCTAACCCCTCCCCCCCCCACCGTATACTTGATTCACACCTCATGCCAGCTCTCCCCTCCTCATCCCTCGCTCTGCTTCCTGCGCCCACACTTCTCACAATGCCGAACCCCCAGCTACCGAGTCTCCCGGGTCATTGAACCACCAGCTGCGTCCTGCCCCAGCTCCCCCCGTATTCGGCGTCGAATCAGCCTCACAAAGCGTCTCAGTGCGTGAGTGTGGGCATGTGTGTGGGGGAGTCATGTGGGTAGAGACTGGGGGGATCCACTCCCAGAGCTAAGCCATCCCTTGTCCTCACCCTAGGAAGCTGTCCCGGGAGAAGAACTCTCCCCCTGGTGGGAGTCCCGGGGATCCATCCTCACCAACCTCCAGGTGAATAACCAGGGCAAAAGGGACTAGAGACATCGGGACCAAAAGTCCGGCCAGCCACCCCACCCTGAATTCTGTGTTTTCGCCAGTGTGTCTCCAGGGTCTCCCCCATCCAGTCCTAGAAGTGGAGAACCTCCTCCTGGCAGTCCTCCAGCCTCCCCAGGGCCCCAGGGCTCCAGCAACAAGGTACCATGATAATCTGTGGTGGTGCTGAGGCCTGGGACACCCAGGGTTCAGTATCTGTGTGTGCACGTGGGCGTGCGTGCGTGCGTGCGTGCGTGCGTGCGTGCGTGCGTGCGTGCGTGCGTGCACAGCACTGCAGGGCTGCACACCTCCATGGCCATCTGCACCATCATCTACCTTCTGGCTTCTTCTCAGTCTGACTTGGGTTTCCACCTATCCATAGGACACACCAGGTGTGATCCCCACTACTTTTTTCCTAATAAGCAATACTCCAGTCAGGTGTGGTGGTGCAGGCCTGTCATCCCCCAGCACTTGGGAAATAGAGGCAAGAGGACTGGACGTTCAAAGCCATCCTTGTCTACATAATGATCCTGAGCTCCATGACATCATGTGTCCACAATAACGATGGCAATACATAAATAAATAAATAAATAAATATAAATAAATAAATAAATAAATAAATAAATAAATAAATAAATACTGGGATCAAACCTAGAACCTCACAAGTGCTCTGTGAGGCTCTACCACCGAGCCACACCCCCAGCCCCTCACTGGGGGATTCTAGGCAGGGGCTCTACCACCGAGCCACACCCCAGCCCCTCACTGATCAGTGACCAATTTCCATGCTCCCAGCACTTTTGTTACTTTTTGTCTTGAGACAGGTCTTACTAGGTTGCCCAGGCTAGCCTTGAACTTGTGATCCTCCTACCTTAGCCTCTCCAGTAGCGGAGATAACAGTTCTGTGCCACCAGCTCCAGCTGTCTCACTCACCTCTTCAAGGACGTGCAAGTCCCTAAAAGTCTGCGTACAGGGCAGGGAAATGGGCCCAACATCCGCAGGACTGTGCATGAGGTTGCTCACTGATGAATACTGTGGCTTTCCAACTGTGAGCACACCTGTGTGTGCTCACTATGTGCTGTCTGCTCGGGAGCCTGCTGTGGACTTGGCTTCGTGTGAATATGGGTCATGTGTCCATTTGTTTCTGTAACAGGGAACTGGAGTCCGTGTGTGATGGATGACATATGCTTGGTCTTGTGAGTGTGCCCTAACTGTGTGGTCCCGAGTCTCTCGTGTGTGAGGAAAGGGGTGTGAGGAGTCTGGGTGAGTGTGTCTGTGTTATCAGCTGATTGAATACAGTGGGGGAGGAGCCTCGTGGCCTCCGTCACACAGATGAGCAAGGCCACAGCCTCCACCACCCCACACTGCCTACAGCTGTCTCTGAACATGGACCCCCATATGACCTTGACCCTGAGCAGCTCTCGAATCTCCCTCCTTGGGCAGCAGACCTCAGAGGCCCGTGTCATCCGAGTCAGCATCGACAATAACCATGGGAACCTGTATCGGAGCATCTTGGTGAGGGGCTGGGAGGGGACAGCCTTGTCCTTAGCTCTGGGACCCTGTCCCCTTACCACCTGTCCCTCTTCTAAAAGTTTTAATTGCGTTTGTGTGTGTGTGTGTGTGTGTGTGTGTGTGTGTGTGTGTGTGTGTGTGTGTGTTGACAACTTGGAAGAACTGGTTCTTTCCTTCCACCATGCGGGTGCCAGGGACTGAGCTTGGATTGTCGCTTGGAGCAAGCCTTATCTGCTGAACCATTCCACTGGTCCTTTCCTGTCCTTCTTCTCCAGCTCACTTGTCAGGACAAAGCCCCCAGTGTGGTGCAAAGAGCCCTGGAGAAGCACAATGTGCCCCAGCCCTGGGCCCGTGACTACCAGCTCTTCCAGGTCCTGCCTGGGGACAGAGGTAAGCAGGGACAGCTTGCCGTCTAAGCAGGGGCCAGTGAGGTGGGCAGCAGTCACGACTGTGACCAACTCCTAATGAGCAGCCGAAGAGAGGGGGGTTTAGCTTGGCTCACAGTTTGAGAGCTACCATCCATTACGGCAGGAAGAGCTCACGGACCTCGGAGAAGCTCGAGGCCGCTGTCACAGCGCACCTGCAGTCAGGAAACAGGGAGGTGGAGGCTGCTGCTCAGCTTGCTTTCTCCTTTAAAAACTTTTTAAAATTTTATCATTTTTTGGGTGGGGCTGGGCAGTGGTGGTGCATATGTTTAATCCCAGAACTCAGGAGGCAGAGGCAGGCAGATAGCTGAGTTCGAAGTCAGCGCGGTCTACAGAGTGGGTTCCAGGACAGTCAGGGCTGATACACAGAGAAACTTTGTCTCAAAACCCAAGCAAACACCCGGCCCCATTTCCATTTTGGGGTAGGGAATGTACATGCCATAGTACATATGAGAAAATCAGCCACAGCTTGAGGGCGTACATTCTCTCCTACCGTGTGGGCTCCACAGACCAAATTCAGGTTGCCAGGCTTGGCAGCCGGTGCTTTTACCCACCGAGTCTTCTCATAGATCCGTTCTGTGTTCTTAACAGTGCAGGACCTCAGCCCATCAGGTAGCGCCACCACATTCAGGCAGGTCCTTCGCCTCAGCTAACCTGATCCAGGTCATCGGCCCAGGCTTGCCTCTGATGCCATTTTAGGGCTCGTCACGTTACAAGTGGCACTGACCATCACAGAGCTCAGCTTGACCCGGGCTAGCAGGATCACAAGTCGATTCGGGCAGAGTGTTGAGACACCTAAGACACCATGAAGTGTGTAAAATGTCTGTGCCTTCCTTCTGTGAGGTCAAGAGGTGGTCCCAGCTCAGGGTAGTCTTTATGGGAGTCATGTGGCATTGGTGTTGTTGGGGTCACCTGGAAAAAGGAGATGTAGAAAGCTTGTAGGGTTTGAGGTTGTTCAGGTTCAGCCTGGTGGAGCAGGAGACTGAAGGGGTTGGAAGAGGGAATGAGTCTCTTTGGCTCACCGTGAGGACCCTGGAGTTGTGTGAAACTTGGGTTAGGACAGGCCCAGTAACCTTGGATTCAGGAGTATGAAGCTGATCAGGCTTGGACAGAAAGGCAAGAGTGTGCTATAAATCATGGTATAAAGCGAGATGGTCATCAGCAAAGAATGTGTGAGGGCTGGAGAGACGCCTCAGTGGGTAAGAGCACACACTCTCTAGCAGAGGACCAAGTTTGGTTCCCGGCACCCACATCAGGTAACTGATGACCACCTGTCACTCTAGCTCCAGGAGAACTGACACCTCTGACCTCTGTGGGCATCTGCAGTCACATGCACACACACACAATTAAAATATTAAAATTGGAGCTGGAGAGACGGTTCCGCTGGTAGAAGCACTGGCTGCTCGTTCAGAGGACCCAGGTTTGATTTCCAGCCCCCACCTGGCACCTTACAACCATCATAACTCCAGTTCCTGAGGATCCAGCGCCCTCTTCTGGCCTCTGAACACCAGGCATGCCCACGGTACACAGACATACATTCACGCAGACAGAACACCCATACACATAACAATGAATAGTAAAAGGCTGGGGCCATGGCCACTCAGTAGAGTGTCTGCCATGGAAGCACAAGGACCCAAACTGGATCCCCTAGAGTCTGTGTCGGAAAGCTGAGCATGGTGTTGTTCATCAGTGATCCCCAGGCTGGCAAGACAGAGGGGAGGCTCCCTGGGGCTCACTAGCCAGCTAATCTACTTGATGAGTTTCAGGCCAGTAAGGGACCCTGTCTCAAAAACAACAACAACAACAACAGTCACAGGCTCCTGAGGACAACACCTAAGACTGTTCCCTGGAACTGTGTGTCTCCAAAGATGCATGAGCACTCACATTCACAGGCACACACAGGAGAGCATGTGAGAGGTTGAGCATGGGTGTGCAGACCTGTAATCCCAGTGTTTAGGAGGCCAAGTTCAGGCTGGGCTAAAGAGTGAATTCAAGGCTAGTCTGAACAGTTTAGTGAGACATTGTCTTAAAGAGAAAGAGCTGGAGGCAGTCGGGAGTGGAGACGTGGGCTGTGATCCTAACTATTGAAGAGGCTGACAAGAAGATCCAAGTTCAAAGCCTACCTAGAACCAGATGTGGTGGCTCACACCTGTAATCCCAGCATCTGGAGAGTGAGGCAGAAGGAGTCAGAGGCCATCCTGCACTGCAAAGTAAGTTCTAGATCAGTCTGGAACTTAGTGAGACCCCGTTTCAAAAGAAAATAAAGAGCTCTGGAATGTGGCTCAGCTGCTAGAGAGCTAACATCCTGGGGGTCCTGGACTTGGTCCCAACACAGCATACAAACCAGGCATGCTGGTGACACCTGTAACTCCAGCTCTCAGGAGGTAGAGGCATGAGAATCAGGAGTTCAAGGTCATCCTCACCTACATAGAGTGTAGGAAGCCTGCCTAAGCTATATAAGTCCCTGTCACAAAAACTATAACAACGGGCTGGAGAGATGGCTCAGCAGTTAAGGGCACTGGCTGCTCTTCCAGAGGTCCTGAGTTCAATTCCCAGCAACCACATGGTGGTTCACAACCATCCATAATGAGATCTGGTGCCCTCTTCTGGCCTGCAGGGACACATGCAAGCAGAACACTGAATATATAATAAATAAATAAATCTTAAAAAAAAAAAAAAAAAAAAAACTACTGCCGGGCGTTGGTGGCGCACGCCTTTAATCCCAGCACTCGGGAGGCAGAGCCAGGTGGATCTCTGTGAGTTCCAGGCCAGCCTGGGCTACCAAGTGAGCTCCAGGAAAGGCACAAAGCTACACAGAGAAACCCTGTCTCGAAAAACAAAAAAACAAAAAAAAAAAAAACTATAACAACAAAAGTCAAGAAAAATGCTGACTGGGGATGTAGCTCAGTGATAGACATCTTACTTTACATAGTCAAGGCCAGTACCTCGGAGAAAGGGCTGGGGACGTAGTTCAGTGGTAGAGTACTTACCTAGGATGTGTGAGGCTGGGTTCAAAGCCCAGTACTGGTGTGTGTGTGTGTGTGTGTGTGTGTGTGTGTGTGTGTGTGATACTATGCATCTAATTATTCATACATATATACATACATGTATCAGATACTTTTCTGTTGCTGTGATAACTTCCGTGATAAAGGCAGTTTACAGAAGGGAGTTTCTTTGGGTTCGTGGTTCCCGGGGGTGAGAGTCCATGGCAGGATGCTGAGAGCTAAAGCTGATGGCTCACATCATGAAAGGCAAGCTCAAAGCAGGGGGTCTGAACTGGAAATGACTCATCTTTAAACTCTCAAAGCTCACCCCCCCACACACACACACACCGTGATGTACTTCTTCCCACAAAGCCACACCCCCTAAGCCTCTCCAAACAATGCCACCAACTGGGGACCAAGTATGCAAATACCCAGGACTATGAGAGACATCCCAGTTCCAACCACCCCCACCCTCACAGAGTCGTTCAAGCGTTGAGTGTGAAAGCCCTTAGCTTAACAGTCTGCAGAGGAAGGGTGACTGGAATCATCTGAGTTCATTGTCACCGTAGACCAAGCTTGCCTGGGAAGTGGTTTGGGAGAGGCTGGGGTGTGGGGGAAGCCATCTGAATGATAGAAGGTTGCCCAAGGCGCGCCCAGACTTTGCAGGCCGCCCATCGTGGTCCCCATTTCCATGCAGAGCTCCTGATTCCGGACGGTGCCAATGTCTTCTATGCTATGAGCCCTGCTGCCCCTGGCGACTTCCTGCTGCGTCGGAAACAGGGGACGCCTTCAGCCTCCCCGACCTGAGGCATCGCTCGCCTCGCTCTGGGGCACAGGCACCATGGACAGCTTGGGACCTGGCTTCTACCACCGTCGAAGTAGGGGGCCCTTTCCTGAAGAGCCTCAGTCCTCAGTGGAAGCTATTTTTCTCTATATCCTGGGGACTCGCCAGCATTAGCCCATCGGACCCCCAACTCCCTGGGCACTTCACTGTTATTCCAAAACCATGACTGTGTGAGAAAACTCAGAAAAATCAAGAGCCTGAAGAGCAGAGAGCTTAGCGTGGCGGAGCACTTTCCCAGCATGCCCTAGACCCAGGATGGTTTTCACCACCCCCCAAAATAAAATCCTAAGGGGTTTTGGACTATAGGATGTAGTTCACTTGGATCCTAACATGTGGCAAGCAGGGCTTTGAGACCCAGCACTGAGTATATCCAGCATGTTGGCACACACCCATAATCCCAGTGCTTGGGAGGTTCAGGCCGGAGGATCAGGAGTTTGTTGTTCTGGGATGCATAGTGAGTTGAAGGTAAATCTGGGCGACATCATGAAACCTCGTTCAAAAAGGAAAAAAAAAAAAACAAAACACTAAGAAAGGGTTGAAACAAGCATAACCAGAGTTCGGGGGTTTCTCCCCTCAGCTTCAGAAGGTGCCGTCCTGCTCTTCTGACGCATGCGTGAAGAAATGGGGGAGGGAAGAGGTTAGTGGTCTCTTGCAAACACAGGCAGTGGGAAACTGGGCATGGTGATACATGCCTATCACCCTAGCCCTCGAGGTGGAGGCAGCAGGAGCTGGAGTTCAAGGTTATTTTCAGCTGTAGTGTGAGTTCCAGGCCAGCCTGGGACATCATTCCCTGTCTCGAATAAGCAAAGAGAGACAGCGCAGATGAGTGAGCTTGGAGGTAACCTCAAAATGGTAACAACGGCACCAGCAGCATGCTGGCTTCTGGGCTTCTGCTATGAACTAGACCTCAGCAGGATTCGAGGCTCACTGAGTTCTTTCAGTTTCAAGGGGCTTGTACAATGGCTTAGTAGGGAAGCCTCAGTTCAGATCCCCAGCACCCACATAAACAGCAGGGCATGGCGGGGTAGATCTATAATCCCAACTCTAGGAGGTGGAGAGAGACAGGTCCCAGGGGTTCACTAGCCAGTCAGTTCAGCGTGAGACCCTGTCTGAATAATGTTGAGAGGCCATTGAGGTGGCCAGTAAGTAAAGGTGCTTGCTAGACAAGCCTGGTGATCTGAGTTCAACCCCAGGACCCATAAAGGTAGAAGGCAAAAACTGACTCCACAAAGGTGTCTTCCGACCTACATGTGTGCACCAAGGCATGTGCTCCCAACACACATCTCATATACACACAAAATAGTAAATACCTTTAAAAGTAAGGTGGAGAGTGATAGATACCTGACGTCAACCTCTGGCCTCTGTGAGTGTGCAAGAGTGAGCACACATGTGCACATAAACACACACAAACCCTCTGGAAATAGGCACTTGCCAAGAAGCAACTGACATCTCCTGTATTGAAAAGTCCAATAAGGGCCGGGCAGTGGCGGCACACGGGTGGCAGAGGCAGGCGGATCTCTGAGTTCGAGACCAGGTCAGCCTGGTCTACAGAGCGAATTCCAGGACAGCCAGGATACACAGAGAAACTCTGTCTTGAAAAAACAACAACAGAGAGGAAGAAAAGAGAAAGAAAAGTCCAATAAGGGGCGGAGATTGGCTCAGTGGTTAAGAGTACTTGTTCTTCTTGCAAAGGATCTGGGTTCTATTCCCAGCACCCATATGGAGGCTAACCACTTCCTCAGCATTGGGCACAGATGTGGTACACAGACACACACACACACAAAAAAAAAAAATAATAAAACAAATCTTTAAAAAATTATTTAAAAAAGAGAAAAGTCCAATAAAGTCTACAGCCATATGCCTGATCACATCTGAAAGTCCAGTAAATCTGGCTTTAGGTACAGCCCGCTCCAGAGACTCGAATGACATCATCAGGATTGTGTTGCTTTTTGACTGGTGAGAATGAGATTGTCTGTTCTCCCACAGATTTACTCACCTCCTATGGAGACAGAGCCACTGATCTTCAGCCACTCCAAGTAAAAGCCACAAATGCACTCGTCACTCAGAAAGCCAAAGCTGAAGGGAGATGGGTTTAAGGCCACCCCGAGTTACATAAGAGCCTGTGTCCAAACAGGAGCACTTTTCCTGGGTTAGGGATCAAACCCAGGGCCTTATCTATGGTTGGCAAGTGCTTTACCACTGAGCTACAACAAAAAGAAAAAAGCTGCTTGGCCTAACTCCCCTGAAGCAAATATGTCACATGATTAATTCTTGGCCAATGAGGGATACAGTGAAGGGAAGCTGGCCAATTCCAAGGGCACCCAAATGGGAGGGGCCAGTTTTCCCTTCCCACATTTCCTGCTTTCTGCTGCTTAGAATGAAGACGTGAGGTGACCGTGGTCACATCCTCTGAATAACTGAGCAACAAGTGGGAAGTCACCTGGCCCCTGAGCCGAATGCTGCTGCGTAGATTGCTGTCACCTGGAGAGTACTGTCAGAAATAAATTGCTATCTCTTCCTGCTATCCCTTAGTTTTGTCATAATAGCCAAAAGAACATTCTTTAATCTCAGAACTAAGGCAGAGGAGGTGAATTTCTGAGTTTGAGACCAGCCTGATCTACAGGGAGAGTTCTAGAACAGCCAGGGCTGTTACACAGAGAGACTCTGTCTCTAAGTGCAAAACAAAAGAACAAAAGGACCTTCTTGGGTGTCTTGCTTTGTGTTTGTTTCTGTCATTATTATGTCATGTATGTTTGTACGTGTTTATCTATCTGTCTACCTATCTATCCATGTATATGTATCTATCCAAATATGTATATACACATCCATACATGTATCTTTGTGTATGTGTTTGTATTCACGTATGTGCGTATCCATGTATGTACGTATCCATGTATGTATGTGTCCGCACATGTATCTATCCATGTACGTGTGTATGTATCCACCTATCTCTCTGTCCATCTTGGTGGTGCTGGGGATGAACCCAAGGCTCTCCACATGCTAGACAAGTGCCGAATCACTGAGCTACACCCCATTCAACTTTTATTTGTAAAGTACAGGAAGTTAGGGGTGGCGGCACAGGTCTGTGATCCCAGCGTTCAGGAGCCTGAGACAGGAGGATTGCCACAATTCCAGGACAGTCTGGGCTATTTAGTGACACCCTGTGTCAAACAAACAGTCCCGGGGCCTGTAGCTCAGTCGCCCAGCATGTTGGAGGCTCTGGGACCCGTTCCCAGCACCACATAGACCGGAGATGGTGGTGTATGCCTGCCGTCCCAACACATGGGAAGTGGGGCCGGAGGGCAGAAAGTCACGATCATCCTTGGCTAGACGGTGAATCTGAGGTCAGCTTGGGAAACAATGAGACCCTGTCTCAAAAAAAGAAAAGAGAAACCAGGGTCGGTGAGATGTTCAGTAGGTAAAAAGTCCTTTCTGCTGAGCTTGCAGACCTAAGCTCAATGCCAGGAACCACATGGTAGGAGAGGGCTGACTCCTAAGGTTGTCCTGTGCCCTGCTGCATATGGGCACACACACACATGCACACACACACGCACACACACACAATAAACAAATGTTTACGATTCCTAAAATCATAAATGATGTATCCCCAAATCTGTGTACTCCACAAACAGAACACCATAGCCTGTTGCTTGTCAAACCGCACGGCCTGATCCTTCTCACACACCCCGTTGGTAGTGGTCCTTAGGATTCTTACTTCAAACCGGGCTCAGGAAGAGATACTACCTGGAGCGGTAGCAAAGCTTCCATCTGTCCTGCGCGCAGCGTAGCAGGCTAGATTTACAGACGTCCTGACTAGACGGGAAGGAGGTAAGTCACCTGTCCATGACCACATTAGCAACCCCGCCCCCGCCCCCCGCCGCCAACAAAACCCTGCTGCCTGCCCCACCCCCTACCCTGGTTACAGCGGCGGCGGCCGTGCCCAAGAGGGCCTCTGTTCCCTCCGGAGGCTTATCTGTCCCCGACTGCATGCTGGCCCCGCCCCCTGGAGGGAGCTGCCACTTGGAAACTCCTGGTCAGCTGTGTCCGGCAGCTGCTGCTGACCCAGCTGTGGACTGGGGGAAAGAGGAAAGGGGAGGGGAGGCGGGGGGACACGGAGGGGCTGGCGCCCTGGGCTTCCTGAAGCTGGGGCTGCATCATGGACCACCTCAGGGCGCCCCTCTGGCCTCGGGTTGGCCCCCTCTGTCTGCTTCTTGCTGGGGCAGCCTGGGCTCCCTCACCTAGCCTCCCGGACCCCAAGTTTGAGAGCAAAGGTAAGAGCTGTACATGGGTACCTCCTCAACTAAGTCCTAGGGGGCAATGCGGCGGCCTGAATTCCCAGCTGGGGTCCCAGGGGCTAACGTTCTCTGAACCTCCAGAGGGAGTTCTAGGGGCCAAAGCGGTGTCTGAACCTGATGAGGCATGTCAGTGTCTGACCCTGGAGTTATGCCCACTGGGAGAAGTCTTAGGAGGGCTGAGGAATGTTTGTTTGAAACAGGATCTCTAGGTAGTTCAAGGCTGGCCTTGAACTGCTAGGATTAAAGGCAAGTGTCACCATGCCTGAACTGTTTTGTTTTGTTTTGTTTTGTTTTGTTTTGTTTTGTTTTGTTTTGTTTTGTTTTGTTTTGTTTTGTTTTGTTTTGAGGCAGTATCATGTAGCTCAGGCTGCCCTCAAACTCACTAGGTAACTGAGGTGGGCTTGAACTCCTGATCCCCCTGCCTCCATCTCCCAATAGCTGGGGTGACAGGTATTAGCCAACAACACATTTGGCTCTGTTTCGTGTTTTGAAGGCGTCTGGAACATGGTAGAAATCGCAAGGGCAGGGTAGGTCCGAGCGCCTTTTGGGAGGTGATCGAGCTCACGGTGGTCCTGTGAAGAGGGCCAGGCAGTGGGAGAACGGGACCCATCTGCAGGCGACTGTAAACACGGTTTGGCGGGCGGATGGTGCTAGCTAGATCTCTTGTACCTCTTGCTAGGAGGAGGAAGGGGGCGGGGGACACGGTTGGCGCTATCGGGGGGCAGCCGGGTGCCTGCGAGGCCCGATAGGAGGCCAGTCCTCTGCACACACAAACGCCAGGGCAGGGCGGGGCCAGCACCGCTCAACTTGCAGGGTGAGTGGGCGTGTGCATGGGGGGGGGGGGGGACAAGGCAGGCGAGGTCGCCACTCCTGGGAGGTCCAGAGGTGCCACTTCTGCAAGACCCCTCCAAGGCCCTCCTAGAGAAGAGGGCGGGGCACTAAAATTATCGGGTCTGCACAGGCCACAGGAGGGGGGGTAAGGGGACCGTGGAGGACAGGCCTCGACTTCTCTGACCACCACCCACCTCCCCGCTCCATGGCAACCCCCTCCCTAGCGGCCCTGCTGGCATCCCGGGGCACCGAAGAACTTGTGTGCTTCACCCAGCGGTTGGAGGACTTGGTGTGTTTCTGGGAGGAAGCGGCGAGCTCCGGGATGGGCTTCAACTACAGCTTCTCTTACCAGCTCGAGTGAGTCCCCCAGGACTGGGTGACCTAAGGCGGGGGAGGGGGCAGCAGAGCTTCCTGGATGTCACAGCCTGGAATGTCTCCCTGGGTCTGGAGTCATGGTGAAGGGTGGCAAGCTCGGGGGGTGGGGATGGGTGGGGGTCGCCCCCTGGTGGTGGGGCTGGAGTAATTCTCCACCAGTGGGCTCGGGTGTCACGTTGGAGTTGGGGGCCTCCATGATGGTGGTGGTCAAAATGCTCTGGTCTCCACCATCTGAGCCAAAGAGATCAGAAGCTCTCCAGTCACCTCCTACCCTCCCTGCTTATTCAGCCTTTTCTTCTCGGTTCCCCCGGTCTCACAGGGGTGAGTCACGAAAGTCCTGTCGCCTGCACCAGGCGCCCACAGTCCGCGGCTCGGTGCGTTTCTGGTGTTCACTGCCGACCGCGGACACGTCGAGCTTCGTGCCGCTCGAGCTGCGCGTGACGGCGGCCTCCGGATCTCCTCGCTACCACCGCGTCATCCATATCAATGAAGTTGGTAGGTGGGAGGGGACGGGAGCGACGTCGGTCGGGGTGGAGACCCGGCTGGGTCCCCGCCGACCCGATCCACATCGCTTTCCGCAGTGCTCCTGGACGCCCCCGCGGGGCTGCTGGCGCGCCGGGCCGAGGAGGGCAGCCACGTGGTGCTGCGCTGGCTGCCGCCTCCTGGGGCACCTATGACCACTCACATCCGCTACGAGGTGGACGTGTCGGCAGGCAACCGGGCAGGGGGGACCCAAAGGGTGAGAGTCCCAGAGGACAGCCCCACCCAACCTCCCCGAGTCCTTCAGGCCCCAACCCCAGTGCCCAACATCCCATTGCTGTTTTTTTTTGGGGGGGGGGAGGGCGGGGGTTCGAGACAGGGTTTTTCTGTAGCTTTGGAGCCTGGCCTGGCCTACCGCTGTAGACCAGGCTGGCCTCGAACCCACAGAGATCCATCTGCCTCTGCCTCCCGAGTGCTGGGATTGCAGGCATGCGTCACCACCGCCCGGCTCCATTGCTGTTTTTTTTAATTGCTCTCTTTCCCGATATTTAGATATTTTAAAAGTTACGTTTATTTATCTGTGTATTTGCCACTGTGCACTTGTAGAGGTCAGAGAACAACTTTCGTGAGCCTTCTCTTTCCACCACTTGGGTCCACTGAGCCGGCTCGCCGCACCTTACCATTGGCGCCCACGTTAGCTCACGCCCACTTTCCCCCACCCCTGCTTGGCTCGGGCTTCTCTGGCAACCCATCAGATCCTCAGCCCCCTCTCACAACTTGGTTCATCACCTCAGCTCTCAAGGAGCGCTCTCTGGGAGGTGTCTGGCTCTGCCTTTATATGGCCCAGACAGAGCCAGCTCTTGACTTGGGGGTGGGGGAGTCCTCGCTCTGATTGGCCTTGAGCCAAAAACCCGCCTGTCCAGTTGACACCGTTACTTGAGCGCCCCCAAGTACCCTTCCCATTATTAGGGTGCTGACTAGACGCCTCCGTGCAAGCTGCCGTATCCTCCTCTCGTTGGGTGCTAGTGGGTTAGATCTCTCCTGGCCCCACTCGCCCCTAGGTGGAGGTCCTGGAAGGACGCACTGAGTGCGTCCTGAGCAACCTGCGGGGCGGGACGCGCTACACCTTCGCAGTTCGAGCGCGCATGGCCGAGCCGAGCTTCAGCGGCTTCTGGAGCGCCTGGTCTGAGCCTGCGTCGCTGCTGACCGCTAGCGGTGAGCCCCAGCTCCTCGGAGTGAGGGATGAGGTGGGTCCCACACTCGGCACACCTCCCTGACCTCCTCCTTCCCGTCCCCCAGACCTGGACCCTCTCATCCTGACGCTGTCTCTCATCCTCGTTCTCATCTCGCTGCTGCTGGCAGTGCTGGTCCTGCTCTCCCACCGCCGGTGAGCCCCCAACCCGAGCTAAGCTCGACCTCAGATCTCCCTCTAGGGAAAGCAAGGCGGAGGGGTGAGCGCTCGCCCGGAGTCAAACAACTGTCGGTGACGGAATGCGAGCCAGACCACGCCCAGACTCTGGAATTCCTTGTGCCTGCTGGCGTACCCTTGACCTCGCAAAGGCTCCTTCCTGCATTCCTTTGCAGGCTCCATTTCCCAGTGTAGCCAACTTTGTCAAATCAACCAGATAGGTTGTGGACGGGATTTAAGCCCAGTGGCTTTAATGATCTGACCAGCCATGCTGAGGTGTATATAATTCCCAGTGGGCTCAAAGCTTTGCTCTTCCCACTTTTCCAAAAGTACACATCCTGTTTGCCTTTCGGGGCCCTGTTTATTCACTTCGTTGGAAAACACACACACACACACACACACACACACACACACACACACACACACACACACACACACTTTGGTGGTTCTGGGGATCCCACCCCCAGCCCATGGAAAGGAGTGAAGAGTGGGATGCCGCATAAACTGAACTCCTATGCATCCTTCAGAACTACCCCAGCTGCCCTTTGTAGGGCCTCACTGATGCCTCTTCCACAGGCTGTTTCCCACTCCCGCAGGAACGCTGGCGTCACTGTGGTGGGGGTCTGAGAGGGCACGGGGGAGTGTCCAGGGTCACACATCCGTGGACTTGTTTCTAACAACGTTAACAGGACTCTGAAGCAGAAGATCTGGCCTGGCATCCCAAGCCCAGAGAGTGAGTTCGAGGGTCTCTTCACCACCCACAAGGGTAACTTCCAGGTAGGTGAGCTGTTTGTCCACGCTGCTTCTGGGGCTGCCTGCGTGCTGAAGCCCAGGTCTCTGAGCAGGAGGGTGCTCTCTTCCCAGCTGTGGCTGCTCCAGCATGATGGCTGTCTGTGGTGGAACCCAAGCAGCTCCTTCCCAGAGGACCCGCCTGCCCACCTGGAAGTCCTCTCAGAGCGCTGCTGGGGGGTGACACAGGCGGGGGAACCAGGGGCAGATGACAAGGGGCCCTTGCTGGAGCCAGTGGGCAGCGAGCATGCCCAGGACACCTACCTGGTATTGGATGAATGGTTGCTGCCCCGAAGCCCATGCAGCGAGGACCTCTCGGGACCTGGGGGCAGTGTGGACCCGGTGACTATGGATGAAGGCTCAGAAGCATCTTCCTGCCCCTCTGACTTGGCCTCAAAGCCCAGGCCAGAGGGCACCTCACCTTCCAGCTTTGAGTACACCATCCTGGACCCCAGCTCTCAGCGCCTGTGCCCGAGGGCACTGCCTCCCGAGCTGCCTCCCACGCCACCTCACCTGAAGTACCTGTACCTTGTGGTGTCCGACTCGGGCATCTCAACAGATTACAGTTCGGGGAGCTCCCAGGGAGTTCACGGAGACTCATCTGAGGGCCCCTACTCCCACCCCTATGAGAATAGCCTTGTCCCGGACCCAGAGCCTCGGCACCCCAGCTACGTGGCCTGCTCCTAGGACACCAGCCTACAAGATCCCAACCCCCCAACTTCTTGAACAAGGTTGGTGAGGACATACTTAAAGTCACAGCTGACCTTGGCCCTCTGCCCAGCCCAAAGCGACAGCCTTGCACTGTTAAGATGGACAGTTATCCGTGTACAGAAATATATACATAGCGTTTTTTCTACCACGACTTTGCCTTGTGTGTGTATGTATGTGTGGGTGCATGACTCTGCCCTGCACCTTGAGGTGGGGTGCCTTGTTCCTGCTAGCTGTCTATGCTTCTGGTTGCTTCTCTGATCTCTGCCCCCATCTTGCCTCTGGATTGCTGGATCAGACCTCACACCACAACCTGGTTTTTTGTTCGTTTCTTACGAGTTCCAGGCTTGCATGGGAAGTGCTTTTACCCTCAGAGTTCTCTGGCTAGTCCTTATTTTAGTCATTTGAGACATGGTAGCTGAAGGTGACCTGGAACTCGTGATGCTCCAGCCTCTACCACACAAGTGCTTGGACTGAAGGTTTGTCCCACCATGTGGAGTTAATGTGGTGCTGCGGACTGAACTTGAGCTTCATACACAGTAGGCAGGCCCTCTGCCCTCTGCCACGGCCTCTGTAAACACCCTCAAATCCCACCTTTTCCTGGATCTAGACCATGGGAAAACAGCTGAAGTCTTTGAGCTAAGATTGAGATTTCGGATCTGGCGACGTGAAGAGGGACCACGACAGTCAGGGTACGTTTTGCTAGCTGCCAGCGCGAGCCGCCTGAAACTCAGTGCCTCGTCCACTTCTGTGACGCTGCTCCTGGGGACATGAATCAATGTCTACTCACCCCAGATAGAAAACCTATGACAGACCAAAGTACACACGCCGCCAAAGTCCAGTTTGGCGAACCGACGGGTTTTACTGGAGCTATAATATGGGTGAGGGGTTACTTGCAGGAGTGGAAATGACTCAGCTGCATCACCAGCACGGCGACATCTCACAAAGCTGGGAACCTGAGCACACTGCACAGCCTGCAGGCAGCTGCACACGGAGAGCGTCCTTTCCAAGCAGCTCAGCTTGTCTGCGAGTTTCAGGGACTTCCTGAAGCCTCTGAGATGTTGACTTCTGAGCTTAAGGAGCTTCCATTGCAGAGTGAATTATTTACTACACCCTGGGGCTTGCGCTTACCTCCAAGATTTTTTTTTTTTTTTTTTTTTTAAGATTTATGTACCTAGGCTGGGCAGTGGAGGCGCACGCCTTTAATCCCAGCATTCGGGAGGCAGACCCAGGCGGATCTCTGCGAGTTTGAGGCCAGCCTGGTCTAGAGTGAGATCCAGGACAGGCACCAAAACTACACAGAGAAACCCTGTCTTGAAAAAAACAAAAATTATGGACTTTTATTTCACGTGTAAGAGTGTTCTGCTCACACATGTTCACTTCATGTCTAGTGCCCAAAGAGGCTGAAAGGAGGGCATCAGATCCCCTGGATCTGTAGTTGCAAATGGTTGCGTCTGACATGGATGCTGCGAACTGAGCCCTGGTCCTGAGGGAGAATGCTTAATCATGGAGCCTTCTCTCCAGCTCCCTAATATTTTTGTTTGCTTTTGAGACAGTCTCACTATGTAGCCCTATGGTTGGCCTGGAACATTCCATAGAGACCAGGCTGTTCTTAAACACATACAGACAGATCTGCCTGCTCCTGGCTAGGATTAAAGGCCTGACCCACTTTGGTTTTTTGAGACAGGGTCTAGTGTAGGCCAGAGTGGCTTCCAACACCTTCTGTAGCCAAGGACAACCTTGCACTGTGACCGCCTACCTCTACGCCCCAAAGCTGGCCTTACCATACCACCATGCTCAAATTCAGTTTAGTGACTTTAAAATGTATGTCTTAAGAAAGCTAAATGCGGGGCTGGAGAGATGGCTCAGAGGTTAAGAGCACTGGTTGTTCTTCCAGAGGTCCTGAGTTCAATTCCCAGCAACCACATCGTGGCTCACAGCCATCTGTAATGAGATCTGGTGCCCTCTTCTGGCCTGAAGGGATATATGCAAGTAGAACACTGTATACATAATAAATACATTAAAAAACAAAGAAAAGAAAGCTAAATGCATGCAAACTCTATACAGAGTGATTCCACTCCCAATCGTACACCCTAAACACACGTGTAAGGTCATGCGTAGGACTAGGTCCCTAACAGTATACAAGCTGAGGTAACTGGGATACAGCCCCCCATGGATATACAAGAGGAACCAAGTATGGGAGCACACTCCACAGGCCCTGCCCTCAAGATATCAGGAGTTCGGGCTGGAGAGATGGCTCAGCGGTTAAGAGCACTGGCTGTTCTTCCAGAGGTCCTGAGTTCCATTTTCAGCACCCACATGGTGGCTCACAACCATCTCTAGTAGAATCTGATGCCCTCTTCCGGCATAAAGTTGTATATGCAGACAGAGCAGTCATCTACATAAAATAAATAAATAAATCTTAAAAAAAAGATATTAGGAGTTCAAGGACAGCCTCAGCTAGGTATTTAGTCTGAGACTAACCTGAATTACATGAGATCTTATCTGGGCAAAGAATGAAACAGGTAAAAAGAAATGAGCTAGGAAACATGGCAGAATCTCATGGCCAGTGGGCAAAGGAAGCCTCCGATAACCATATTTACTTATTTTAAAGGTTTTGTTATTTATTTTTTTTAAAGATTTATTTATTTATTTATTATGTATACAGCATGTATGACTGCAGGCCAGAAGAGGGCATCAGATCTCATTACAGATGGTTGTGAGCCACCACGTGGTTGCTGGGAATTAAACTCAGGGCCTCTGGAAGAGTAGTCAGTGCTCTTAACCTCTGAGCCATCTCTCCAGCCCTTTATTATTTATTATTATTAGCATGGAGGGCATGTGTTTGCCTCTACCCAAATGTGGAGGTCAGAGGACAAACCTGCAGGAGTCAGGTCAAGATTTCTACCATGTGGGTCCCGGGAATCAAAGCCAGGCCATCATGCTTCTTGGCAAGGCCCCTTAACTACCGAGTCACCTTGCCAGCCCCCAACAACCTAGTTTACAAAGAAAAAAACCTACACTTTTCAGGTCTTTGAATCTGCGCCTGTCTCTGAAGTAAGTATGCTATCCAAGGGAAACTGAGGACCAGAGAGGTTGTCACACACCAAAGTTGATGACTGGCTTCCAGCACTTGGACTTGTTTTATCTGGGCTGGGCTTTGACGCCTGTGGAGGCCAGGGGGTGACTGCCATCTCTCCATTGGGTAAGAAGGTCACTGACCACTCCACCCTGGGGCTCAGCTGGCCCGACTCCAGGCTGGCTCGAAGGCAGTGTTGCTGTCCCAAGCCTAGGGCATCTGGCTGCAGCCAGCACTGTGCAGGAAAATACCGCTGAAGCAACGTGAGATGGGGGGCATCACCGTCTCCTTCTTTTGGGGTCTCAAGGGCCACCACAAGCCCACAGCTGCCACTGGCTCCCAGACGGCCGCTAAAGTAGGCAGCAGTATCCAGAAGCAATGCAGCCACGTAGGCGGCCTCCTGGGCCCCCGAATCCTCTGCCAGGTATTCTTCCAGGCCGTCCAGCAGCAGAAGGGATGGCGCAGGCCCGGGGGCCTCGTGGGCAGAGGCCAGCAGCTGGAGAAGCTCTGGAACTGAGGATGGGTACTGGAATCGAATCTTCTAGAAGACAGGAGAAGGCAAGATTTGATATAGGGGGCCAATGCTCCCTACTAGGGGGGCCATGACTCCAGCACACCTTCCCAGCCCAGGCTCTCACGCCCCACAAAGTTCCAGGGTGCAGCGCGGGCTCACATGTTCTCTGCCCTTCTTTCTCACCTGCCCTCCTGCAGCACGTATCACTGCCCAAGGCTATTTAAGGAAAGATTCTTTTTTTTCTTTGATACAGGGTCTCATGTAACCCAGGAAAAGTCATTAGAGAGAGGGAGGGAGGGAGAGAGAGGGAGAGGGAGGGGAGGGGGAGGGGGGAGGAAGGGAGGGGGGGAGAGAGAGGGAGAGGAAAAGGGGGAGCCTGCGTGCGTGCATGCGTGCTCCCACAAGAAACCAACTGCACTGTAGACCCGGGTTTCTGCCCTGACCCCGCCTCCTGGGCGCCCACGCCGACCGATCACAGGACGGTCTTTCATTCAATCTTAACTAGACCCGCCCTGCCCCGCCCCACCTAACTACTCCGCCTCCTCCATCCACCGCGGCCACATTGGCTCTGTGATGTGCCATTGGCCGGCCGACCTGTCACTCATGCGCAACCCATCCCGCCATTGGGCGACACCCAGCGCTCCGCTTACCTGCAGCCGCCAGTGGTCCCGCGCCGCGGGTGTGTTGAGCGGCAGGCTCTGAAGCGGCCTCCGCGTCAGGAAGAGCACAGGCCCGCGGCCTTCCCCCGCCGCCTCAAGGGCCGCCGCAAACAGCAGCGACGTCTGCGCCGAGCGCGGAGCGCCTAGCAGCAGCAAAGGCGGCCCGGCCGCTCCATCCACCCCGGGCCCGGCCGCGCGGCCTGCGTTCAGCACCCGCCTCAGCGCCTCCGCCATTTGCCGAGCCCCGCTGGCCAATCAGGGGTGCGTTCTCACGCCGGGCCCGCCCCCGCCGGCGCCTCATTGGCTGTAGTTCACAGCTTCGCCCTCGGCCACCGCACGGAACGTGGCATCTGCTGCCGGAAGCCGCGTGGTCAGAGTCAAAGGAAGGTCGCGGGCGCGAACGCGCTCCCCAGAGGCGCCCGCCCGGCCTCCAGGTCGGAGCTGGGGAGGGTGGCTCAGCCGTTATTCCGAAAGACCCGGGTTCAGTTCCCACCACCCACAAGGTGACTGACAGCCGTCCCTAACTCCCGACTCAGCGAATCCGACGCCCTCTTCTGGCCTCCGCGGGCACGAGGCCCGCATATATACATGCGCCGCCGCCGTGCACGCGCGCGCACACACACACGTAAAAGTAAATCTTAAAAAAAATAATGTGGGTCATCCTTAGCTACATATTGAAGTTTTCGGCCATCCTGAGCTACGTGAGCCCCTGTCTTAAATAAAAATAAAAACCAGACTCCTAACCTCAGCTTGCCCACCTGCAAAACGAGTATTATGAGTCCTATGAGTCCTTGTGATCATTGCAATGTGTTGGTGTGATCATTCGCTGATGTCACCAAAGGACAGTTCACAGATGGAAAGGGACATCTGTTTGTTTGTCTCTGCATGCTTGAATATGGAAATGTGCTATATATGGGCTACAGACTCGGAACTCAGATTTTTTTTTTTTTTTTTTGATAGGGCCCCGGACATTTTACACTTGTCTGGAACTCTGAGGATGGCTTATGCTAGCATGCCAAGTTAATGCAGGGCCGTGGCTCAAACTCAGGGTTTTGTACATATTAAGCAAGCATGCTACAACCTGCCACGTCCCTAGCCCTCAATGAGGGGTTTATTACGTTTATTTAGTTGGTGTGTGTGTGTGTGTACTCCAGTGACACAGTGTGCATGTGTGCAGAGGACAACTTGTGGGATGGGATGCAGTTCCCTTCCACCGTGTGGCTTCCCAGGATAAAAGATCTTCAGGACTAATGGCAGGAACCTCAGCCATCTCACTGGCCCTGATTCTGTTTTATTTTACAATCTTTATGTGTGTGGGTGTGTGCAGGTGGGACCATGTCAACCCCAGCTTCCACCTCACTCACGTTGTTCACTGCTGTGTAGGCCAGAGCTTCTGGGGATCCTCCTGTCTCCACCCCCAGCTCATCACAGGATGCAGATACTGTGTCTACAAGGTGTTAATGCCTGCACAGCCAGGACTTTACATCCTGAGCCCTCTCCCAGGCTGCCTCTATGAGGGTTCTTAAAGGGGCCTGTCATCTGATTTCCTCCTTGGCCTGGGACCTTCTTAATGCTTTCTTGTGTTGATGGGAGGAAGAACATTGCTTCTGTGGAGAGAACAAGCTATGCTAAGAGAATGAGGGCCTTGGATGCTTCTTCATGACAGTCTGCTGACCACACTGAGGACTGAAATTCTTTCTTTTTTAATTATTTATTTTTATTTTATGTGTGTTGGTGTTTTGCCTGTATGCATGTCTGTGTGAGGGTGTCAGATCTTGGAGTCACCGACAGTTGTGAGCTGTCACGTGGGTGCTGAGAATTGAACCTGGGTCCTGGAAGAGCAGTCAGTGCTCTTAACCACTGAGCCATCTCCCTAGTCCTGAGAACTGCAATTCTTGTTAAATCACTGAATGAAGGAAGGAAGAATTAATGAGAACCAAGATCCTGATTGCTCAGCCAGTCTCTTCACCCAGACTTGGCTCTAGAGCTGTCACTCAAGCCTTTGTTTCCCTGGAAACCTTGTCTCCTAGTAACTTCAAAGTGGTACGGTTGCCTGGAGACCCAGGGACAGGGCGGAACCGCGATTTCCTGGGCTTACTCTCTCCCTCTGGGGACAGAAAACAGCTCCACAACATCCCCCGGTACACCCACACACACAGCTGGGCACCCCTACACCCTGCACATACACACACACACACCACCACCATGGCATTTTGCATATATTCCCTTTTCAGACATTCATTTACCCCCCCATACACACACTCACAGCTGAACCCTGACACAAAGAATCCCATACAGTATCCCCATTTTCACACTCTATGCCGTCCCTCACACACACACACACACACACACACACTGAGATGGCTGTATGATTGGCATTCCGCACACAAACATCCATCCATCCTCAGCACTGTTACACTGTTCTGTGAAGTAGGCTGCTTTAGCCTCCCACCCCCGCCCCAGACACAGCCTGACAGTGCAAAGCACGAAGTGCGGAAGCCCAGGTCCCAGGAGCACACTAAGCACGGCTCTTCTTGCTCCTTGCCCAGAAGAGTTGGCTCGAAGGGCTCTGTCTAGCTCTGTCTTTGGTTGGTTTCGTCTTTTTCTTCCTCTCTTTCCCTCAGCACTGGGGATTGAACATAGGGTCCCAACTTGCCAAGTAAACATTCTAACACTGAGCTACATGCATCCCTGACCCTGACTGGAAATAAATAAATAAATACATAAAGTGTAAGTGTGTGTGTGTGTGTAAGTTTTGCCTGCATGTATGTGCACAATGTGTGTGCCTGGTGCCCCCAGAGGCCAGAAGAGGGCGTCAAATCCCCTGGGATGGATTTACAGATGGTTGTGAGTCACTTTGTAGGTGCTGGGGATCAAACCCAGGACTTCCGGAAAAGCAGCCTCTCCAGAGCTTTTTAAATTTTTCATCATTGGGTTGGAGAGATGGCTCAGTGGTTAAGAGCACTGGCTGCTCTTCCAGAGGACCTGAGTTCAATTCCCAGCAACCACATGATGGCTCACAACCATCTCTAGTGGGATCTGATGCGCTCTTCTGGCATAAAGTTGCACATGCAGACAGAGCACTCATAAAATAAATAAAATAAATGCATCTTTATATTTTCACCATCATCAGTTATTATTATCAGTGTGTGTGTATCTGTGTGCGTGTGGGTGCATGACTGGAGAGTCATCCCATGGCAAGCATGTGGAGGTCAGAGAACAACATGTCTATCCGCCTCTCATTCCACCTTTACCTGGGTTCTGGAGAGCAAACTCAGGTCAGCAGGCTTTGCCACAAAGAAGCACTGAGAGCCGCTGAGCCATCTCCCTCCCCCCCCCACCCCCACAGTCTTGTCTGCTTGGCTCAGGCGGCCCAGGCTGGCCTCCAACTTGCTGTGTTGCCGAGAACAGCCTTGAGTGTTGAATCCTGCTGCTTTCATCCCCCAGGTGTTTGGGTTACATGCATACATCATGCCTGACCACAAACATTAGTATACACTGGGATGGAACACAGGCTCTCACACTAGTCAAATGATCTACCACTGAGCTTAATTCCCAGCCCTGGAGAGCTCAGAAGAAGTTAATTGTCGCTTCTACCTGAGGTTGTCCATTTGTGATGTGCGTGCCTGCAGGACAACCCTCTTCCCACCTTTAAGGCCCTCCATTGCCGGCCTCTGAGTCAGCACCAAGGACAAGGTCAGCCGGGCGCTGTCCGCGGTCCTGAGACTGTGCTCCCCCCCCTGACAGGCCAGGAAGTTTCAAGGCCCGCAGGCCCCACAGATGACGTGTGTGAGTTTTGCAAGCAGCCCTGGTCAGTCAAGACAAAGGCTTTATGATCAAGTGAGCATTCTCATGGCTGATCTCCCCGTGGCCAGCGACCAGCCCCTCCACCTCGCAGACTGCCTCCTCCTTCTCTCTGCTCTTCATTCACTGAGTCCCAGCAAACACAGTCGTCCTTGTTTTTTTTCTTGGATATGTCAGGCATGGGGCTCACCTCAGGACCTTTGCACCTGCTGTCTTGTTTACCTGGGATTCTTCCTGCCCCCCCACCACATACTCTGGTTCCTCTCTCCTCTCTCTCTCTCTCTCTCTCTCTCTCTCTCTCTCTCTCTCTCTCTCTCTCGATGTCTGTGACTCTCTTACTGCTACACATCCACACACATTCTCCAGATGCTCACGTGACTCCCTTTCTTTCCTCACATCTCACCTATGCTGTTTTCTTCTCAGCGGACTCCCAGAAAACTCTTTAAATATGGAATCTGTCTCCATTCCAGAACTCTCTCACACACACTTTCTCCCTTCCTGCTGATGTAGCCCAGGCTGGATTCCAACCTGTTGTGTAGCCGAGGATGACCATGGACTCCTCATGGTCCTGCTCCTCCACCTCCCAAGGACTGAGATCACAGACATGGGCCACTATGATTAGCTACTCACCCTCTCTGGAAATGTCTCATTACCTTTATTTAATATGAGGAAAGTGACATTGTGCTGAGGACAGAGGACAGTTGTATGAGTCATTCTCTTCCCGTCCTGTGGTTCTTGAACAAGACTCAGGTGTGTCAGCAAGCACCTTTACCCAGTGATCCATCTCTCCAGCCCCTCAATTTTCTTAACTTAAAAAAGCATTTTAGCCAATTGGTGGTGGAGCACACCTTTGATCCCAGCACTTGGGAGGCAGAGGCGGGCGGATCTCTGTGAGTTCGAGGCCAGCCTGGTCTACAGAGTGAGATACAGGACAGACTCCAAAACGACACAGAGAAACCCTGCTTCGAATAACAACAACAACAAAAAGCATTTTAAATCGTGTGTGTGTATGTGTGTGTGTGTGCGTGTGTGCATCATGTGAGTGTGGGTGCACTCAGAGTCAAAAGACAGCATCAGACCCCTTGGAGCTGAACTTATCGCCCCTACATGAGCACTGGGAACAGACCTTCACTCAGCCATGTCTCCAGGCCCTCTTTTTAACATTACCATTGTTATTATTATTACTGGGGAGTCATGGAGGGAGACAGAGAGGATGTGCCATGCTGTACATGTGAAGTTCTCCACAGTTTGTGCTTCCCTCACACCCTGGGTTCTAGGGATGGAACTCAGGTTGTCAGGCTCCAAGAGAAGGGCTTTCACCCGCTCCGCTATCTCACGGGCTCTCACCCCACAATTCTTTTTTTTTTTT